AAAAAAACAATAAACAATCCTTATATTTAAAACTATACTAGTTGTCCGATTACTTTTGAAGATCAGAAAAGTGATTACTTTGTACAAAAAGGGCTGTTTTTCATAAACAGTTAACACTTAACTGATGTTAAACTTCCTGAATTAAAGCCAATAGTCTGCACTTCAATCACATTTTGGCTGATCTAAATCCCACTGCATTGGTGCAAAGAGTTAAAACTACAAAACGTGTAATAGTTCAAATACTTATGGACTAAAGTGCAGCCTAAACTAGGTACACACAACCTAAGTTCTGAAAGAATTTTCCTGTGATGAGCATAAACGTGGTCTAAATTATTTAATATATGAATAAAGGAAGAGAGACTATTTGTTGCATCTTTGTTTTTACTTGTACGTTATGACAGCACAGATGTTCTTATTTAATTGGGAATTTTGTTGTACACATGAAGTTTTGAAAATTCATCATGGTATTTTCAGACTTTTTATTGTTTTATGAGCCATAAATGATAGGAACCCCCTCATTATAAGAAGGGAGTTAAACCTGTTTGTGTCCAAAATGATAGCTGGATACATTGATTTCATCTGATTACAAACCTTTCAATAACAATAAAGAAGAGCATTTATTCTTCTGACATTCTTTTGATTCAAATTAATCACCTTAAACTCTCAAGTCTTACCTGGAAAACTAAAACATAATGTATCATAATGTTGCAATTCATATACAATCGATAAAAGAATATTGTGTATTGAAGAAAGTCAAAGCAGAATTAGTCCAAGCTGAATTGTTGGACTAACTCTGTTGTATCAGTACTGAAGTAAAAGATTAGAGATATTAGAGAAGAAATGTGGCTTTTGCATACGTTTTCCACAACATACAGTAGAAAATAATACTGACCTTTGACCCAGGAGGAGGGGGCAACCCCAGGAAGGTGTACACTAAATTGTCCTCTTTGGCATCAAAGAATGTGTCGTAGTCCTGCACAAGATTTAGAGATCTAAATCAATACAATAATTTACTTTCCCTCCAATTTTAACTTTGTTGCTACAGTTGTTCCATTACAGACATTAAAGTGCATTTCCTATGCTTTTCTCTCAATATTCTGAAGGTAGACACAAGTTAAAAACATTGGCGTATCTGAATGCGATGTATACTCACCCCACAATAACTCTCTTCGTTGAAGATTTGTGGGGGGAGGGGGATGCCGTTGGCTGGCTTCTTGTCCTCAGGGACGTTCTGCCTCATCCACATGCGGTTGTCCTCATTGCACGCGATGTCCAGTGGAGTGTAGTCAACTTTAAGAGCCTCCAAGAAGCCAACCACATCTTGCTGCTTCTTCTTGATCTGCGAGGCAGAGAAATCCTCCCTGATTGCACTGTATATGAGGAGAAGCCTGGAATATTTAACCTCAGGATGGCAGCTGCAGCATTCTGGGGTTTGGAATATCAACTAACATTATTTAAATGACAGCATGGATTCACATCTGATGCTCTACATAGTGCTCCCTTCCCATCCTCTCCTACTAAGTAAACACAGAAACCATTGACAACAATTTAAAAGAAGTACGAGTTTTACTTTATTTTTTTTACCGTACTTGGTTTATTATTATTGTCTATGTAACAGGTGTCCTATCTTCTGTGTATTTTTTACTTATCTTGTTTTCATTTTGTATTTTTTTTATTAATATTTATTGAGCTTTTCTACTTCATCTATCATAGTATATAAGTTGTTACAGGTTGTGTTTTACGCTGTGGCTTAATTTCATTTCCCACGCAACTATCTCAGGCTTTGCAGTCAATGGTCTCAAAATGAGAAAGCAGGTGAGCAGCAGTTGTCTGGGCAGAAATCCATCGTTGATACCAGAGGTCTACCAGAGGCTTCAAGCTGATAGCAAGGCAATGCTAACTAAAAGAAAAAAGAAAAAAAAACTCTTGTATGCAGAAGAGCATCTTTGAATGCACAGTACATCAAACCTTGAAGCAAATGGACTACAGCAGCAGAAGACCACACCAGGTGCCACTCCTGTCATTTAAGGACAAGAAATTGAGACTACGATTCACACAGGCTCATCAACTGGACAACAGAAGACTAAAAACATCGCCTCGTCCTGTGAGTCTTGAGTTTTTCTGCAATGTTCGAATAGGGTCAGAATTTAGTGTACACAAAATGCTTCCATCCTGCCTTTTATCAACAGTTCAGGTTGCTGGTGGTTGTGTAACGGATGTGGATCTCAGTACAATTAGCCCCCTTAGTACCAACTGAGCACCATTTAAACACCACAGCCTACTGGAGTATTGATTGCTGCTGACCCTGTCCATCCCTTTATGACCTAACAAGGTGTGCCTCATAAAGCGACTCTTGAGTGTATATTATCTGATCTTATTTTATTTTAAGCCCTTAAATAAGCAGAAACACAACATGATTGCTTTTTCCAGCTTCTCAGATGCCAACATATGCTATTATCCTTGTGTTATATGGTGTTGAATGACTAATAGTTTTCTGTTTTGGTCTGTTAATAATCCATAATCCATGTTTCTGGGCTCTGGTGAAGGTTGAATGTCTTCATGTTTGATCTTTTTACTTGTATCTACATCTGCTGACAGATCATATTTAAACTGATAAAAAAAAACTGATTAAAAAGTGTAAAAATGAAAAAATAAATCAATAAAAAAAATACAAACAGCAGGGTCGAAAAAGGGACAAATAAGAGGATAAACAACGATGCATTTTCTAAGAGTTAATGAGGACTGTTGTGGTCAGTCATTGAGTGTCATCTGCTAATACGGGTAGATGACCATACCCGCATGAAACAAGTCCACTCAAAGGATAAACCCCAAGTAGTGTGTGTTGTGATACAACACTGCTAAGTGGGCCCCAACCACTTTAGCATGGCCAAAAGTGGATGTAAGAAATAAATTCACCCTCCCCTCTGCTGTTATCATCCCACCTAACATATACACCGTTACCTCAATGCGAGTCTGACTTAAAGTTTCATGTTAAATCTCTTTTTGGGGGAGACACCGACGTCAAGCGTCTGCATGTGGAGGTCCTTAACATGCAAAAAAAAAAAAAAAAACTTTGGGAGCCCCTGTTCTAGAAAGCTCTGCATATAAATCACATCGACCTGCGAGACAATTAAACAAAGAACCAGAGCCTCTCAGGCGTAAACTCAGGCACAAATCAAACCGTGCACTTGCCTGCAGTGTTTAGATATGCCTAATAAAAGTCAAGTCACATTCATTTCGAGGTTTAACGCTCTCGTGTCACTGTATGAGTGACAGTCCTGGCCGGTTACAACCACAAAAGTTCACTTTAAGAGAAATAAATCCTTTGGAGTAAAAAGCTTACCGCTGTGGATCCCGACGAAGACGCGAGGAAAACTTTAATGACCATTTTGCTACAATTTATTTTGTCGACTATGCAACAAGCGGTCTCTTAAAGGAGCAGGCAGCCTTCTCTATTATTAGAGCACACCCTGGACGGAGACATAGCACAGCGATCACTCACTCACTCACACACACACACACACACGGTTATTTTTGTCTCCAGGCTCCATTAGTGAGGGTCGGCCCGTAGGGGCGCAGCACTACTCACAAACACTGATTGGCAACTTCAGCTGTCTGTCGGTGAGGGAGGGGGCGCAGTGGAGCTGGTTCCCAGCGTCCTGCTGAGTGCATATATGGACAGAAATAGCACTGACCAGCACTATAGGCTGACAGGTTTTCAAACCCGGTGTTGTGCCAAAAAGTGATCGGCTGCCAAAAACTGTATTCCGATGTTTCTGTATGTTTTCTTTGCGTGACACCTTTGCTTATATTGGTAAAGATATTGTGGTGAAAAGGTTTTTACAAAGGGATCATACATAAAATAAAGAAATTGTGTTTTTGCAAGTAATCTTTATGACTCTGTGTTACTTTACCTACATGTTAATCCTAAAAATTATTAAAATATCTTATTGGAGCTGTGATGTTATATCTGTTGCGATTTTTGCTTCCCTCTATCAGATCTCTCTTGACAAAGACATTTTTAATGTCAGTGAGAATTTTGCCTGCATTAAAGGCTATATAACCAATATAACCAAAAACTGATTCGTAAGAGATGTTTGAGATGTTTGAAAGATTACAGGCGGTACTGCAAATTTTGGTATCGATCCAATACCAAGTAAATAAAGGGCTAGTATTGTCGATACCAAGATCAGTATATGCTGATTTATGAGAATAATCATCATCAGATTGCAAATTCTTAAACACATTTTAATGACACTGTGATCACTATCATTGTTATTTTACACAAATATTAGTAAACACAATAAACCAACAATTCCGTGTTTCATGGGGTTTTTGCAGATGGGCTATAGGCTATAAATAAAATAGACTTGACAGTCAGTCAGACATTTTTTTTTATAATGTTTGAGGTATAGTTTTTCATAAAAAACTGCAGTAATTTAAGACAGTTCAGTGCAATACTGAACTCAGAGGATAGAAAGAAAGTATCGATCCTATCATGCTAGTGAACCACTACCAGCGTCGGTATTGATGTCATCGATATTTGGCTCGATCCGCCAACCTGTACCTTTCAGTGTGAAATCCTTTCTAAATTACATTCTGTTCAGTTTTTCCACATGAAGTTTTCATTTTCTAAACTTTAGTTTCATTGTAAGAATGGAGCCAGCTCGAGTAGGCAAATAACAAAGTCTCATACTCAATAACCCTGTTAGAGTCCTTGAACAGTTTTTTTCTTCTTCGTGAGTGGTCTACATTCCCTTTCATAAGAAATTAAGGACATTGAACATTTATTTTAAAAGAATCTCCTCTACATGCAGGACTACAATGGTCTTTTTTGTTTATTTTGTTTTTTGCTCAGTTTTTTTTCTAGTTACCGTCACTTTATTGTTTTCTTTTTATTTTGTTTCTTTACCGGCTGGGTACCATGGCAACCGTGGACGTACATCTACAAAAAATAATAAATAAATAAAAAGCCCCAGCAACGAATAGTGAACGAGTTCGTATATAAACAAACTATAGTTTACCCTGCTAAACATTACAGCCTGAAACAGAGAGAGTTTGAGAAGATAGCCACGCATAGAAGCAACTTAGGTTGGTTTATTACCGTTATGGCTGGTGCATTATTTATTTTACCTCGTGTAAATTCTTATTCATGCCAGTCTGGCTTTGAACTGTGCTTTTTCTCTCAGGTAAAGAGGATTCGTGAGTGGGAGGTAGCAGGGCCTGATGATGCAGAAGGCTGTTGCCCACGAGAAGCAGGATGAAGGTATGACCAGCAGCTCTGACACCTCTATATGGTCCAGTCCCTCCGGATCATACAGTAGCTCTGATGATCCACAATACACCTCTGTGTGTGAAGACAAAGCAGATGCCATCCCATCATTTCAGTGGCAAGGATCAAAGCGGTCTAGAAGACTTGTATTTGGTAGTTTTCATATCTCAAACATCTCAATATCTAAATATTTTATATACAATTCCCTCTACCATGAGTAAAGTGTTTGGGGGTGTCCTTCCTCTTCAGGTAATAAAGCTCATGGGGGCAGCATGCAAAAGACAAACCCTACTACAAACTGCTATATGGTTAGCTTGCCTCCAATCAGGTCCCTGGAGACTCCAAAGCCAAGCCTGAAGCGCATCAGGGAGCTTGAGAACAAGGTGTGGAGTCTGCAGCAGCAGCTGTGTGAGTCCAGGGCGGAGAACAAACTCCTGAAGAACGTGCAACATCGCCACATGGTGGCACTGCAGCACTTCCAAGACTCAGAGAACAGTATTGCACAGGTGGGTTTGTGGTTTCTGCCACTAGTCTCTCTTGCTTTTCAGATTCATGTTATCAATTAACTGTATGTGTACAAAATACTGCTATTTTTCCTCATCTTTCTCTTTATAGTGCCTGTATACGTCCCTCTCACAAATAACATCAGTGTTTCTGTTATTGTCATAATATTGACCATATCTGTTCACAGATTGAAACCAAGCACAAAAACGAGGCCAGAGCTCTTCAGCATTTGCTCCGTGAGACCCGCACCTGCCGTGACAACCTAGCAAGGCAGCTGAGGAGCACAGAAGACAAAATGTTGCACACAAGGGAAGCTCTCCAGCACCTGCAGCTGCTCAGCCAGGATCACAACCTGCTGGAGCGGGAGGAGCTCACCCTGAGGCTGGCCAAAGCCTCTGCTGAGCTGGAGGAGAAGGACAAGAAGATACTGGTACGAAGGAGCAGAGAGTAGAATGATGGTGGACGATATAGCATCCTAAAAAAATATGTTTTACATTAAACATTTGCTTCTTTATTGTCTCTTCACTCTATTCTAGGACATGGAGAAGAATTTTGAGTTGTGCCAAGCTTCATTCAAGCGGCAAATAGTCACAGAGCAAAGAAAGATGAAAGAGGCGAGAAAAATATCCATCCACCTGCAACAGCAAGTATATCAGCTCACCAGAGAACTAGCGGTAAGCTGAAAGAGATGTGTGTGGTCATTCTGAGGCACCTCCCCCTGTCGCCATATAAGTCTGGGAGAAGAAAAAGTGAAAAAGTCTTGATTAGAAAAATAGCCAATGATCAACTGTAGAAACACAAGGTCTTATGCTTGGGTGTTACTAGTTAAACTCACTTGTCATTTTTCAATAAATAAATATATATATAAAAAAATATGTAAACAATTTAAAGGCGCTGACTGATGATCGGTGTGCGGTATGTTTTTTACTCATACAGTACAGAGAGCGGGAAATGGGAAAACGTAACATTTACTCCCACCGATTCCAGAACGGGTCGAGCAATAGAGGTAAAAAAAACAAACAAAAAAAAACAACAATCTGCCTTATCGCAGCTTGCTCATGCTTGATTGGCTGTCTGAGTGGTTTTGATTTTTAGGCAGGGAAAACAAGATGGTTCAAACAGATGGATTAGGCCTGCTCCCCATTGGCCCTGCAAGTCTTTTGGAGAATGAATATTCAGAGCATGTTCAGAGACTGGAGCAGCAGGAGAGCTCTGTGAACTGGGTATATGGTTCAGTTACTCAAAAACAGAACAACCTTCTCACATACCTGTCTTTTATCATTTTTAAATTATTTTATCAGCAAACCAATTTAAAATCTTTCTCTTGTTTCAGGGTCGTTACGGTCCAGCGCAGAAGTTTTCAGTTATAAAACGTCTAGAGAGAAAGGGTCCTGCTCATTTGTCTTTAAAAGAGAATCACCAAGACAATGCAAAGATATCTGCAAGTAAGTTACTCAATCCTAACAAAGTGACAATTCTCTAACAATATACAATCAAGAAACCAAACACTGTAAAAGGGGGGAAAAAAGAACGGTTGAAATCGTAGTAACAGAGGCATAAGTTGTTTTGGCATTTTGTCAGGTTATTCAGTATTTTTCAAATTGAAATATTTGCTTTCAGATTGCAGTGACATCAGGAGTTCAGACAACAGTCCAGAGCCTCTAAATGAAGAAGATTGTATCAAAGAAAAGGAGGAACCAGAACCCACACGGGCGCTCAATGGACCTGAATCCATAGTAAAACATCAGTTTTCAGACATCTGTTCAGATGAGAGCCCAGAAAATGAAAATAACGGAGAAGCCCCTCAGGTGCAGGAAGAGACGCGACAAAAACAGCACGAAAGCACAATGGCCTTTACTTTAGAGAGGTGTCTGAATCGAGCAGCACCGAAGAGAAAAGAAAGCAGATTCCCCAGAATCAGAAGCAGCTACACCTTCAAACAGACCACAGAGAACCTGCACTGTGGAAGACCAGCATACAGCACTGAGGACTTGAGCCCACAGGAAAGCTCTGAGGTGGAGATCCTCAGTAGAATTCCTGAGCTTCATCTACCAGATGAGAAAACTGATGGAGGTGGAGCACACAGCTCTTAGACTGAATAAAGTGCAATTGAAAGGAAAGTGCAGGCTAGCTCATCATATGATTATTATGCAGCTACCATAGAGAAACTCCTTTCTGCATCATAACACACACAGTATGACTTTCTGAAACGTATTAACAGCCTGTAAACTAATGTTTTTCTACTCCAGACTCTTTATTTCAGTCGTTATTTCATTACAGTAATGTTTTACTGCCCAATTTGCTTTGGTTGGCTCATTCCCAGGTAAAGGTAAAATAACAAAACACATCTTTTTTTTTTTTCTTCTTTTTAATAAAAATTAATTTCCACATTTCCATACCACTGTTTCAAAGCAATATACACACAATCAAATAACCACATAATTATAAAACAATGGTAACAATGATAACACTTTTTATAGTAAACTTCTGCTGCAATTCGAGATCACCAAAATGCACTGCATTATTTTAACGTTCTTTGCTAGGAACAGCTGACTGAAAACGACAAAACAAAAACTGCAGCGTTCGTCATCAAAGGAAACTGTTGAACACAGGATTAGGAAACACTCTAGCTGACAGCATTCAGAGCCAGAGTAACTACTTTGTTGCAAACCACCAACCAGCATGTGATTCCTACTCCACCTGAAAAAGAAAAACAACAAAACAAACAGCTCATTGATGGAGCTTGACTCCAGGCGGAAAAGAACAGCACATATTGATACACTACATGCATCATATTGTATAAAATCTACATATTGCAGAATACCTGCACTGAAGTGAAATGAATTAGGTTTTATTATCAGTGGATAATAAAATCATCATGATTTCTATTAAACTATAAGCTATGTGTAATTTTGTTTGTTTGTTTTATTAATAATGAAGCTGTTATGGATTTACCATCCACTTGATTAGGTATACCGATTCAACTGCTCCTCAACACAATTATCTATTCAGCTAATCACATGGCAACAACTCCATGAATTTAGGCATGAAGCTACGTGAAACATGACATGCTAAAGTTCAAAATGGGAACCAGAATTGGAATGAAAGCTGATTTAAGTGTCTCTGAATGCGACATGGTTAGTGTCAGATGTGTTGGTCTGAGTATTTCAGGGATCAAGCACACTATACCCATCTTTTAATGGCTGTTTCCAACAGAATAAAATGCCATGTCACAAATCATCTCAAACTTTTTTTAAACATGACAGTGAGTTCGCTGTACTCAAATGGCCTCCACGGTCACCAAATCTCAGCTCAATAGTGCAGCTTTGGAATGTGGTAGAACAGGAGAGTCACATCAAGGACGTGCAGCTTGTGTGCATTCAGTGTATACTACAGGCTATGCTATCTAACACAAACCTGCCACTCCTGTTGGGAAAGCCACGAGGCGCTCCACGGGAGCAATCCATCTACTTGGTACCACAGTCACTGGATCAGAGTAATACTTCCATATCAATGAAATCATCAGCGCAGCCTGACAAGAAAAAACAAAACAACAAAAACACAAAAACAGACATATACTGTCAATAACGGCAAATAAGCTGATTCAGCTACCAAAAAACGATTATCTGGAGGTTTTGGCCAGTGCTATAGACTCACAACTAAATTAAAATACATTCATGCTTCTACTCGAAACCTCCACCTACCTGCAGTATGTAAAAAACAATGCTCACAACCCACTTCATTTTGGCTTGTTGAGCGGTTCTTGATTTGACTACAATAGACAAGAAATATGCAACTGTTAGTCTCAACATATTAATTTTTCTTTATTTTGTAGTGATACTGCCAGTTCCTTTAAATCAGACGGAACTGTCATTTTGTTTCACTTTATTATTTGACCATCCCATGTCCAGGGAACTGAAACCAGGATAAATTCCTTTTTTTAACCAGTCACAGGGTAACAGGGAAAGTATTAGTCCATTCTTTATATGGTCTTTGTTAATACTAACATTACACAAAGTAAATCTTTGCTTAAATGTAAACAGACAGCACTATTACTTTTTATTCAAGAATCAGGTGAAGACTAGAGTCAACACTTTGAGAATCACAAGACAGTGCGGTCAGAATAAAATCAAAATAGAGAAGAGCCTGGGTGTAATGCTGATTGTACAATAATTTAAAATTGACAATGTGCAGGTTTTGGAATAGGTCAGCAAAGAAACAGTCTTTAGCAGCCTTTGTATTGCTAAGTAAGTTATCACACAGAATAGACAGTGTTTCTTTACCAGATTGTCTGGGGTCAACCAACCAAAACAAGAGAGAATGAACAAGAGAGGTGAAGAGAAGAGGGCAGGCAGGTTGGAGTGGATGGAGACAAGTGTCAGGGGTGATATGTGACAGAAGGATAGCAACAAGAGTGAAAGGGAAGGTTCATAAGATGGGAGTAAGATCTGCTATGATGTATTGTTTGGAGACGGTGGTGCTGACAAAAAGACGGGAGCTCAAGCTGGTGGTGGCAGAACTGAAGATGGGAGTGACCAAGATTGACAGGTCTGCAGTCTGGAGATATGGTTAGAGGCAAGCTAACATGGTTTAGACAAGGTTTTAGACATGTGCAGAGGAAGCTGAGTGGATATGCTGGATGAAATGATGTTTAATATGGAGTTGCCAGGCAGGATGAAAAGTGGAAGACCACAGAGAAGACTGATGGATTCAGTGAAGGAACACATGCAGAGGGTTGGTGTGACAGAAGTGGATGCTAATCCTGAGGCTATGGGGCCAAAAACAGTTACTTACCTCTAAAATCCCCCAAATATGTCTTCTGACTGATAATTTATAACATGTAAATCTACATTAATAGACATTCACATCTGTGGAAGACATAATATATGCCCTTTCAGAGTACCTACTACATATTTTCTGCTGTGTTCCATAAAGAAAAAGCAATTAGTTTTAACTTTTTAGAGCTCATCACTCTGTTGCAGTAAACTTCATTTTGAGGCTCCTGTCACACCATCTATCCTCTGAATGTCAGTAGGCACTTTTAAATCTCACCATGTGTTTTCAGCTTGTCTGTTGTCTTGTTGATTTTGCGCTCCAGTCTGGCATATCTAGCAAACTCATCCATCATGCTAATGGAGGACTGCTCCTTCTTCATCTCTTGGATTTCAGCCCTCATCTCACTCTCCTGCTCAGCATCTTTCTGCACCATCTTTGAGAGCTTGAAGAAGGGGGAAAAATACTATCACTGAGCAGCCTGGGCCTGATTGAAATTTTTTATAATTACAGTAGTAGTCCCTATTAGGCAGTCTAATCAGCACCTACGAATGTCAGTTTAACACTTTCCATGAGGATTTCCATGAGGCAACCTTTCGAGCTACAAACAATCTTTAGCCGTAAAGCTAAGCTGTAAACAGTTTCTTAACATTAAAGCAGGACATTTGGCGATAAAGGAGGAAAAGGAATCCCAGTTAAATGCAGCAACTACTGGATTCTCGGTGAAACCCCACCCTCTGGTTGTAGCTCTGCTATAACTGAGGAGGTACAGCAGCTATAAGTTAGCTTGACAGACGGCTAAGCTAGTCAACAACAATCCACCGTGTGTCCGACGAGGACACAGATAATAATATACCGGCATTCAAACAACTTTAACAACAACCATATATGCAAACAATAACTCCTACTCACGAAGGAAGATATGGTCGGCAGAAGGATTTTCATAAGATTGCAGAGAAAAACCGAGCCAAGCACCAGGAGCCATGCATAACCGGCCGCCATGTTTGTTTCCTTTCTCCTCCACTCAGCCTCCTCCTTGTTGCAGCTGTTGAGCGACTGGACTGCTCGGTGCACTGACTTTAATAATTATCCCACTAAAGACGGGACATGCTGTTAGTAATTACGACTCTCTTTAAACACTAAAATAATGTAACGTGCATATATATGGCGTCCTCTATAATAAATGACTGGATAGGAAAATGGGGGAAATGCAGGATCTATTTATTTATTTTTATATTCTTCTTTGTTTATGTAAACTATATCTCAAACTCACCATTTGCCATGCATTATTCAAACCCTACACGTACACACACAACTAATACACCCTGCGAGCAGGTTATAAGCGGTTATAAAGTTAGATAAGGCCTGGATTGACTGATTGGCACACTGTCCTGCCCACACAGGTGAAGATGTTGTGTTTCAAAAATATGCTGCCTCATCCTCAAAGCCAATCACAGGAAGCAGTGGGCGGGGGCTCTGTCTTCCTGGTAGGTTGGTAGGATAAGGGATAAAATATACCGAGAGGGGGATCCAATCCGGTTTGAGCTAGTTCTGGTACTGCTCGGACGTTTATGTTAAGTTACAGACTGCAGCTGGTGGAGGTGTAGGCAGAGGTAGCTGGGCTGACAAAACAACAACAAGTCCTCCTTTTGTTTGTGTAACTGTTAAAAGAAAGGCAGTGTTCCCCTTTTTTTTTTAAATTCCTGCCGTGCAACCTAAGCAACAATGGGAAGGAAGAAAGTAAGTGGAAAGAAAATGTGTGCTTTACGTTTGGGTCGGCATGATGCAGAAATAGCGTTTTAAGAAACTGTAGCAGTTGTTTTGTGGTGTTAATACACGTATGCAGGAGCAATGCAACACGCTACGGCGTGTCCATGTGCGTGCCGTGGAGTCCACCTTTTCCTGCGCTCAGGTCTGTCTTGTCTCACTCGGCTGATACAGGGAAGTGGCGCCTTTTTACTTAGCACTGCTTTTTTCGCTCTCTTCCCCCAGTCCAGTTTAAAGCTTCTGTTTTGTAAAATGTGTGCCCGGCTGAGTTTTAATAATCACCAACTGTGCGCTGAAACAAAGGGGTGTAACCACCGTCGAGGCGCACAGGTTGGCATTTCGAGGAAATTTCTTTCGTAATTGCCTCCTTATTAATTTATTTATTTACTTGTGCTCTGGGTTGCACGCGTGCCGTTTCAGGTACCAGCTTCGGTCACGTGTCGCGTTTTTTAGCCGCATTTGTGGCCAAATTTGGCGGAGATTTTGACCTCAGGCGAGTGTGCGCGCACTGGAAGGCTGGTGCGCGTCACTCCTGAGGTGTGCAGTCCCTTCTCCCCCTCTCTCTGGTTAGGCTCGTTAA